TTGATTGCAAACTTTCCCTGGAGAGTCATTCAGATGATTGATATTGTTTATATTCTCCTATGACTACATGATCTATTGGTGATTGGGGAAGTTATTGCATATGTTACAACAGTTTCAATATTTGTAAAGTAAACTTGTCACTAGTACTTGTACATGAAAGGAGAGCTCCAGTATAATGGCAAATTGTGAGCACATGAAGTTTGTTTTCTGTTGTTTTTAGTATAGTGAGCTGCAGTTCCATCTAGGATAAATGTTAAACATTCCTTCATCTGCATCTGAGAGTAATGTCTTATGATTAAAATATGTGTTAGATCAAGGTGTATTGTACCTAAAGGTCACTATGCTGATCAGGATATTGCCATGAAGACATGGTATTAAGACCATAGCCTCAATAACAATATTAAATGCAAAATCAGAGATTAAAGTAGTTGTAAATTTTTTTTTTTTAATTATTAAAAAAACAAACATGTCATACTTTCCTGCTCTGTGCAATGGTTTTGCACAGAACAGCCCCAATCCTCCTCTTCACGGGTCCCCTGCTGGTGCTCCTGGCACCTCACCCCTGCCGAGTGCCCTGATTGCTATGGGGGCACTCATGCATGCTCACTCCAGAGCCGTGTCCATAAGACACACAGAGTATGGCTCAGCCTCACCCCCACTCCCTACTCACTGACTGCGATTTACAGCAGCAGGAGCTAATGTTGTGTCTGAGCCAATGAGGAGGGAGAGAACTGATAGAGCTTCCGCTCTCGTTCACATTGCTTAATTGGGATCAGCTTCAGGTAAGTATTACAAGGGGCTGACTACATACTGAAGGTTTTTTTTGCCTTCATGCATAGAAAGTAAAAAAAAAAAACTCCAGCCAGGAGAACCACTTTAATATAGATGTATCCAAAAATAAATATATTTACTGCTTTACATGGCACTAGTGAAACCCCATTCACTATCTGACACTGAAAAGTGTTCAGACAATCGAGGTATATCTAAACTTAAGAAAAAAAATATAATATATTGCAGCTAGGGGGGCGCGTGTCCAAGATGGCGACCGGACGAGTCGCATGACCGGGAGCTCCGGCGGGATTCCTCTCCAACCTCGGGCATCCAGGTCGTATAGGAGGGCGGGGGCGAGCGGGTTACTCACCCGTCCCTGCTGCAGTGCGGTTGGGAAGTCTTGAGCGCTTCGGGCGCCGTCCTGCGGTGATGACCCGGTGCGGCCTGCTGCGGCCAGGTGCAGCCGCGGCATCAGCTGGTGGTGGTGAGACGGGAGCGGGAAGGGGGACGGCTGGTCACCCCCCCTTCCGCGCGTGCAGGGAGCAGCTTACTTGTCTCCCCTCTGGGTCTGGCGATCCGCGCCGGAGGGGCATCATCATCTTCCTCCCTCCCCCCCATAAGTGACACAGGGGTGGTGAGGCCTAGTGCGGCCCAGTGAGCACAGATCCTTCACCACCAGAGCACAGATTGGAGGTGATCCTAATCACGGTCAGCGCACTACCCAGGCACCTATACCTCCTCCCAAAGTCTTCTGTCAGTAGTCCAGGGCCCATCGGGGCAGCCCCCCACACAAACCCAGGGACCACCGGCACATGGTAGAGGCCTTGCTATAGCCCACACAGCAGGGAGCTGTGCTGAGGTTAGGCCTACTGAAGATTCTTCCCCTGTAGATTCATATAGAGAGACGACAGTGATAATCACTATATCCACACAGCAATATTCAGTGTCTCCCCTGATTTGCCTATCCTCCCCAGCCCGTAGAGGCTTTCAGTGCGAATTAGGGCGTGTTTGCATCTACCTACCCACATCTTCATTTTCCTGTTTTGGGGGTTCCAGCATGACCCCAAAGAAAATGGCAACTTAATACCCTGAGCCTTGACACACATAGGTGGGGCTACGCTTACATGACAAGGAATCGCTGCTAAAATGGGGAAAGCAGACAGGAAAGCTAACACTCCTCGCTCCAGATCCCCACGCCGTACAGGTGGTCCTGCTAATCGAGGCATCCCGGAATTATTCCGTTCTCTCACTCCGGATCAAACAGATTCTTCCACCCTTGCCTCCCCACTACATTCGCCTGCAAAAGAAATTCCCTCGCAGCCAATGAGCTTGTCAACAGCTACTGCAACTGGACGCTCTGATCCTCCCCCTCTCACCATGGGGGATTTGAAAGCGATTGCATCAGATATTAAAGGGACCCTTTCTGCGGCGATAGCTGAGTTACATATCGACATGCAGGCAGTGGCTCACAGACTGGACGCAGTAGAAGACACAGTTCATATGCAAGGTCTTGCTTTTCATGATATGCGCAGGCAGGTTGACTCGCACACCTCGCACTTAAGAGAGCTCGATCGTCACATTGAAGACCTGGACAATAGGGGTAGACGACATAACTTAAGAGTGCGCGGTGTGCCGGAAGCAATAGAGCCTAGCCAATTAACCCAAGCTATTAATATATTGCAGCTTGCTAGTCCTTAGATGTTGTGTCTGTTAGTGATGGGCCGAACACCCCCTTGTTTGGTTTGCAGTTGAACATTTGAACATACCGAAAGTTTGACCGGGAACTGCGAACAGGGGCAATTCACTAAGCGGTATCTTACCCCATCTGAGTATCCGGTAAGATACCGCACAGCTACTAAAATACTGCATGAGTTATATTATTAATTCATGCGGTATTATAGTAATGAAACATTCTTTAATGTTTCAGCTGTTAGTGGGGTTCCCTGCTGACAGCTGAATGTAAAAGGAAGTGCTGGCATTGCCCGGCAATCAAAAAAAGCTTTTGTAAAGTGCGAGCGGCCCCCCCCATTAATACCAAGCCCTACGGGTCTGGTATGGATTTTGATGGGAACCCCCATGCCAACTTTTTTTAAAAATGGAGTGGGGGTCCCCCCCAAATTGATACCAGACCCTTATCCGAGCATGCAGCCCTGACAGGTCAGGAAAGAGGGAAGATGAGCGAGCTCCCCCCACTGAACCATACCATGCCACATGTTCTCAACATAGGGGGTGCTTTGGGGCACATTACCCCCATGTTGATAGGGACAAGGGCCCCTTCCCCACAACCATGGCCGGTGGTTGTGGGGGTCTGCAGGTGGGGGGGCTTATAGGAATCTGGAAGCCTCCTTTAACAAGGGGGCCCCTAGATCCTGCCCCCCCCCCATGTGAATGAGTATGGGGTACTTGGTACCACTACCCATTCACAAAAAAAAAGGTGTAGTGGAAAAATGACAGGAGACAGTCTTTGACAAGTCTTTATTAAAAACAAAAATTAAAAAAATGCCCTCCAAAGTAGATCCAACGTCAATCACATTGCCCACTACCTCTGCCAACATGAAAAAAGACAAAAATAACGCTCTGCTCTCGACACTAGCTCCCGCCATCTGACAGCTGCCCTGGGATGGCAGTTCTTAAATACTATGATGACATCACAATGCACTGTCAGGGTGCAATGCATTGTGGGGCCGCGATGTGCTAGTAGCCCGCAGAACGCCTTTACCGTTCATGTGTTCACCAAAGACAGGAGTGGCCAATGTTCAAGTCCAACTTATGTTCAACTCAAACATCTAGCCCATCTCTAGTGCCTGCAATCATTTTCATAAAGTGGTTGTAAACCCTTTCATATACCCCCTGAAGTGACTAGCCTCAGGTTATACACAGAGATGATACAAATCCTCCTACATAAGTTGTACCTGTTTATCTGCAGGCATCGCTTCTCTGCATCTGTTCAAAGTGCAGAATGTATACAGCTTTGCTGCGCTTTCAGAAAGCAGGGGGCAGGAGATGTAAGTTACACTTGGGAGATCTCATTGAGAAGAGCTGTGAGAGCTGATTAGATGGAAGGAACCCCCCAAAGGGCACCCCCCCTCCCTCCCTTCACACAGCACACAGGAACAGAGCTGAGGCAGCCAATCACTAGATGTGTTCCAGACAGGGGCGCACTGCCCGAGGGCCCAGGGTCAGTAAGGGACCCCATGAGATGCCCCTGGTACCTTTTTCATAGGCTTTTTTGAGTTTGGGCAAGGACACAGGGCCCCATGATCCCCTATTGCCTGGGGGCCCCATGAGTTGTCAGTCCGCCCCTGGTTCCGGATGCATTTTTGCTTAGAGTTCACACCAAAAAATGCATTCTAAAAATGTAGCATATTCTACTTTTTTTTCTGCACCAGAAATGGACAGAAACTGACTGCACTGGTGTGAACTAGAGCTATTGGAATACATGGAAAACATTGTGCATGCATCTTTGATGCAAAAAAAAAAAAACGCACTGGATTGCATCTGGTGTGAACCAGCCATTAGGGCTATGGTTTCCAATGGCATAGTTCACACCAGTGCAGTCAGTTCCAGTGCATTCCAGTTTTTTCTGCACTGAACTGTACTGGAATGCAGTAAAACGCATGAAAAAAGGAACAGGGCAGCACAAGTCCCTATTTAATTCAAAGATAAAGAGGGGAAAAAATTAACCGTGTTAGAATACCGGGCAGGCCACTCGGCTTTTCTGTGCAGCAGAACCTGCTCCTCGGTCCTACCTGTTCCTCGGTCCAGCGGTGTCCTGGTTGCACCAGCCGTCTTCTCTCCCTGGCGCTGACATCTTCAGTGTGGACACCCGGCTGTGACAGCTTGCGCTGCGCTTTTTGAATGGCCCCATAGTCTTTTGGGACCTGTCATGGGTCCCAGAAGACTACGGGGAGGGAGGACAACTCGGTGGAAGTGGGAGCGGGTACCTGTCAAATCCTCTTCCCCCCTCCACTCCCCAAAGGTCTACAGTCTCTGGTCATCTCCTGTACTATGTCTGCAGTCTCTGGTCATCTACTGTACTATGTCCGCAGTCTCTGGTCATCTCCTGTAGTATGTCCACAGTCTCTGGTCATCTCCTGTAGTATGTCTACAGTCTCTGGTCATCTCCTGTACTATGTCTGCAGTCTCTGGTCATCTCCAGTACTAGGTCCGCAGTCTCTGGTCATCTCCTGTAGTATGTCCGCAGTCTCTGGTCATCTCCTGTACTGTGTCCGCAGTCTCTGGTCATCTCATGTACTATGTCCGCAGTCTCTGGTCATCTCCTGTACTATGTCCGCAGTCTCTGGTCATTCCCTGTACTGTGTCTGCAGTCTCTGGTCATCCCTGTACTATGTCCACAGTCTCTGGTCATCTCCTGTACTATGTATGCAGTCTCTGGTCATTTCCTGTACTATGTCTGCAGTCCATTGGTTCAGAATACTTTTTTTCTTGTTTTCCTCCTTTAAAATCTAGGTGCGTCTTATGATCAGGTGCGTCTTATGGAGCGAAAAATATGGTAATCATTTATCATTATATTTTTTTAAAAATACATGAAAACAATATGATGATCAAGATTTTTTCTTAAAACTAGCTATGTAACTAGGGCATTGTCATCCTGATTCACAAAGATAATTTGCATGTTATACTTTGGTTTCTTATCGCAAGCTAATTTTTTTTTTTTCACTTGATGTGATTCACTAGACTTTTAGCGCTCCGAGGAGCGCCTGATCCAATTTTGTCCATGAAACATGGATGCAAAAGAAATGTACTGGCAAGTTAGTGCTTTGAGTGTAATTGAAGCAGCTCAGTTTCTCCTACTGAAAACAGATAATATCTACCTGCTGACAAGAAGATGGAGTATTTTATGGAAGCTGAGGAAGAGTTACAGCCATATTAAACTCAAACTAAAATGCAATATATTGCAGCTTACCAATTTTTAGATGTGGTAACTACATTTGTTTATTTTTCTAGGCTTTCCCCTCTGCGTTCACTTGCTGATCTGGCTAATAACACACCAAAGTGCCTCCACTCTGGACGAAGGAGCACAGGGGAGCCTTTGGGCAGCAGCATTGCCTGTATGGAGGGATAGAAGTGTTGGGTGTGTTACATATTTAAATATACTAACACATTGAAGCTAAACTCCAGCTAATACTTTATAAACAGTAACAGCAAACAGTTTTTTGTTTTTTTTTGGATAAAGGTTATACATGAAAAAACAAAAGCTGATCATTATAAGCACCCCTGTCAGCTGTAAATGGCTTATCTCAACCCTATGACTGCTACATCTCCAGGAGAGCTTGCTTTTTTTGCAAAAACAACAGATCTACTGACTGGATCACAAAGTGAAAATAAAGGAATGAGAGCCTAAAGAAGGAAAACTAATGCATCACATCTAAGATTTGGTAAGCTGAAATTTTTGTTTTTGGGTTTACTGCTTTAAAAATGATACACAAAATGATAAATTAGAAGTGAGTCCAATAATTAAGTATATCAAAAGTGCAAACGTGAATCTTCAATTGCTAGAATACCAAACGTTATCCTTGCAAACACGTGTCACCCCACTCTGTGCTCAAAGAAGGCTTACCAGATGTATATGACCATCATGTTATAGAGTGGTCAAAATCAGTTCAAGAATGATAATTAAGCAGCCGCTCCAGCCTCCTCCATAGCATTCAAATGTGGCTCAAATATCATTTGCCCACTCCATATTGACCATCGATATATGTGTTTTCAGGCATTAAAAGTGGCATGTGTATGAAAAGAGAAAGCTTCCCATAGTGTAAAATCTACAATGGTTTATTAAGCCAAAGAAGTGCACTTACAAACTTCAAGATCAATACAGCACTGTGTGTCTAAAACCATCCACGTGTTCCCACTTCCAAGATGGCCGCAAGCATACACGTATGCGTGGTGACGTGTGCCCAAGCTCCATCCAACGCGTTTCATCACAAATGACGTCATCAGGGATATTTGAGCCACATTTGGATGTTATGGAGGAGGCTGGAGCGGCTGCCCACTTATCATTCTTGAGCTGATTTTGACCACTCTACAACATGATGGTCATATACAGTAAAGGAAATAAGTATTTTATCCCCTGCTGATTTTGAATGTTTGCCTACTCACAAAGAAATGATCAGTCTAAAAATTGAATGTTAAGTATATTGTAACACTGAGAGACAGAATAGCAACAACAAATTCAAAAGAAATACATGTCTAACAAATTATGCACTGATTTGAATGTTCATGAGGGAAATAAGCATTTGATCCCCTTCACAAAACGACTTAGTACTTGGTGGCAATTACCTTGTTGGCAATCACAGAGGTCAGACGTTTCCTGTAGTTGGCCACTAGGTTGCACACATCTCATTAGGGATTTTGGCCCACTCCTCTTGGCAGATCCTCTCCATGTCATTAAGGTTTGGTGGCTGACATTTTTGCAACTCAAACTTTCAGCTCTCTCCACAGATTTTCAATTGGATTAAGGTTTGGAGACTGGCTAGGCCACTCCAGGACAGTGCTTCTTCTTGAGCCACTCCTTTGTTGCCTTGGTTGCGTGTTTTGGGTCATTGTCATGCTGGAACACCCATCCACGACCCATTTTCAATGCCCTGACTGAGGGAAGAAGGTTCTCACCCAAGATTTGACAGTACATTGCCCTGTCCATCATCCCTTTGATGTGGTGCAGTTGTCCTGTCCCCTTAGCAGAAAAACACCCCCAAAGCAGAATGTTTCCACCACCATGTTTGACAGTTGGGATGGTGTTCTTGGGGTCATAGGCAGCATTCCTTCTCCTCCAAACACGGTGAGTTGAGTTGATGCCAAAGAGCTCAATTTTGGTCTCATCTGACCACAACACTTTCAACCAGTCCTCCTCTGCATCATTCAGATGTTCAGTGGCAAACTTCAGATGGGCCTGGACATGTGCTTTCTTGAGCAGAGGGACTGCAGGATTTCAATCCTTGTCGGCGTAGTGTGTTACCAATTGTTTTCTTGGTGACTGTGGTCCCAGCTGCCTGGAGCTCATTGACAAGATCCTCACGTGTAGTTCTGGGATGATTCCTCACTGTTCTCATGATCATTGACACTCCACAAGGTGAGATCTTCCATAGTGCAACAGACCTAGGGAGACTGACAATTGTTTTGTGCTTCTTCCATTTGCGAATGATTGTACCAACTGTTGTCACCTTCTCACTAAGCTGCTTGGCGATAGTTTGGTAGCCCAGTCCAGCCTTGTGTAGGTCTACAATCATGTCCCTGACATCCTTGGACAGCTCTTTGGTCTTTGCCATGGTGGAGAGTTTGGAATCTGATTGTTTGATTACTCCTGTGGACAGGTGTCTTTTATACAGGTAACAAAATGAGATTAGCAGCACTCCCTTTAAGAGAGTGCATCTAATCTCAGCTTGTTACCTGTATGAAAGACACCTGGTAGCCAGAAATCCTGCTGAATGATAGGGGATCAAATACTTATTTCCCTCATGAGCATGCAAATCAGTGCATAATTTGTTAGACATGCATTGCTTTTGAATATTTTGTTGCTATTCTGTCTCTCAGTGTTACAATACACCTAAAATTCGATTTTTAGACTGATAATTTCTTTGTGAGTGGGAAAACATTCAAAATCAGCAGGGGATCAAATACTTATTTCCTTCACTGTACATCTGGTAAGCCTTCTTTGAGCATGGAGTGGGGTGACACTTGTTTGCATGGATAACGTTTGGTCATCTAACATTAGAAGATTCACGTTTGCACTTTTGATATACAGTACTTAAGTTTTGGAATTGGGACTCACTTCTATCACTTTTATCATTTTGCATATCATTTTTATACTGTATTGGAACATTTTCATATCTAGCTTTATGGATGGATAGCTAGGATTGCACTATTAATGTTTTATTTTTTAGCGCTACACTTTTATATCTGTGTTTTGAAAATTCTTGGTATCAGAATTTAGTGTTGTCAGCTTGTGATTTATTTGAACCAGCGCAGATTTTTATAGTTTAATCACATACAGTTTTTTTTTTGTTCAAACCACTGATGAACAAAAAAAAAAGGCTCATCTATGGACTGCCTTAGTATATAAACACCAATACACCTGAACTATGCTTTACTTCCAATCAAAAGGCACAATGTTCTGAAACATCATTTTTTTAAAACAGCATATTCTAAAATAAAAATTATACACAAGAAAATGCCTTCACTTTACACACAGTATACATACAGTATGTACATATTTTAAAACCTATGTAAGAATTCAAGTGCAACAAGAAGAATATTGTTTTTAAACAAGGATATGTTTAAATCCCTTGATAACACCAGCTAACACGTCTAACCATTTCCCCTATAATCTGAGTACAGATAATATGCATGTAAAACATGTGTGACACCCTTCCCTTCTCTTGCTGATCCAATACAGATCATTCAAGAGTAAAATCAGGGAAGCTTTTATGGTCTCACTGGGACTGGGCTTTCAATTTTCTGGTGCAGAAGAGATAGAGAAACAACACTTCATTTCAAATCCCAGGAAAAGGTGGATAGACATTTTAATCACGGAGTCAACATAAAAAAATAAATTTAATTTTAAAGAATGGGGAACCATGGGTTCACAGCTTTGTCTCATTCATAAATGGTGAATAACACCATTTAAGCACATAAGTCAAACCACTTAGCAAAACTTAGCATTTATCCTTAAACCAAGGAGCACTTGGCTTGTGAAGAAATTTCTAACATTGGTCCTGTGTTCAGCAAAGAATACTAATTCATGGAGACTGTAGCATCTTCAGACATGCAGTGTCCATTCATTTCAGCACATCTTAATATACTATTTTTGCACCGGATGTTGCTGATCTGTAGATGAGCCTTTGGAGTGTATGTCAGTAGCACAATTAAAGGACTATCTGTACAGGACCTTATGAGCATTAAATGCCCTTCTAAATTGACCTTGTAAAAGTATATTTTATAAGAACTGCTTTTTAATTTATTATACTCTGGACTACTCCTTAGCATTTTATTTCATAATTTCACTAAATGTGATGTATAGGAATTGTTTATATAAGACTATTATATATATATATTTTGTTTGGTACATTTCAGATGTTGTCTATGAATTTTCAGCATTCTCACATCCAGCATGCAGGGGGCACATTAAGCTTATTTTCATATGTATACTTATATATCTTTCTTTGCTTTGCTAAAAAAATAGTCAGTTGTTTACAGAGCTTAAAAGCTGAAGCTGTAATTTACACACACCTCTGAATGTGTCAAAAAGTGACCTATTTCCCTTACTCTGCCTCCCTGCCTGCCTGTTCAAACTGAACACAGAAAGTTTAAAAGAGTAAGACTGAAAATAAACAGCTTCTGATGTAGTTTCTCGTTAGAAAGCCCAAAATAATGTGTGACTCCAGGGTCATGGGAACACCCAAAAATAATCTTCCTTTTGTAAAAAAAAAATATATAATTAGTAAAAACATGAAAATAAATGAATTTAAAATAAAAGAAAAGTACAATTGACCCGATGCCACTGTAGCTTCTTCAATTAATATCCAATTAGGTAGGACATATCTCCACTTAGCTATTGACTCTGCGTCTTAACTGAAATAAGGATTAAAAGCTGTACATGTTCAAAAGCTATAATACACTAACCTCTCCTGCTGCCCACACCACTGAACTCCACTCTGTTGATAAGGAATTGTGGCTTTGGGA